TTAAAGCAATAATAACTCTTCGTTTCGGCCAAAAAATGAATTTTCCTGGAGTAAACAACAATTTTCCCATACTTACCAATGGTTAATGAATCCATTTTTACATTCAAAGTTAGTCCCTGGTTTTTTTCTAAAAAGTTTGGTTTTTTGTTAAAATCTCTTAAGAGATTTTAACAGAGTATAGACATCAATGGAGGTCACGTGGTCTAAAGGCAAGTTCAAATATCAGAATAAAAGCTATAACTGCTGTTTTTGTGGTTAAACAGAATATATTATATTTCTATGAGTTATTCACAATGTTTTTATTGTGAAATATAGGTCTCATACAAAGAGTTATTATGCCTTTAAGTTATGGGTAGAAACAAATGACCTAATGTTATAGAGATAAGAACATGTTGTAAAGAAGAAACATGTTGTGGAATAGTCATCTTGTCCTATATTGGAAATATTGATACTAGTTTAGGGATTCATAAAAGTGATGGATATTAAAATGCCCATGAAACCATTGCCAGAAGATAAAAACCTGATATTGATTAGCTTATGTGTTTGTCTTTGCAGAGTACTGGTCAAGAAGAGAAGCCACCAGTGACTACAGTATTTGTTGGTAATATCAGTGAGAGAGCTCCAGATGCCATGGTCAGACAGATGCTCTCTGTGAGTTCAAAAATTATGCTATCATTTGTGCTTAAAATATTTAAGATAAAAAATCAGAATTTGTAATGGGTTGTTGCTTTATATGCCCCCAGTTGATTACAAATGCTTTTGATGAGAGTCAAAGAAAAAAAAAGTGTTGAAAGCTGGTTGCAATAAGTATATCCAAGCTGGGGGTGTTTTTCATAGGATATAATGCAACAAATCATATCTGTATGATTTTTAAATCCGGAATAAATAATATTTGCATCCAAGAAGCAGGGACGTGTTGCTGTTTGAGATGTGGATCCTGATTTGCACTCGTTTGGTTTATTTCAGAGGTGTGGCAATGTTATAAGCTGGAAGAGAGTTCAAGGCGCCTCAGGGAAATTACAAGGTAATATTTGTTCTATTTTCATGTGTAAGAAGCACCGTATGTTATTGGGCTTATTTCAGCAGAGTTTTTGCTTATGTTTGAATTTTTTTTTTTTTGCTTTGAGGTTAAAGAAATAAAGATATTCAGAATGGTTTGTCTTTCCCAGTGCTCTGTGGATAATACTTAAAATGTGCCAGAGTGACCACAGTGTGGCTAGTGGAAAAATTTTGTTTTTCATTTTTAAAATGATGACCTTGATGACAATGTTAATACCATTGAAGGATAAGTCATGTTAGTGGGACACTCTTTGAAACTGAACTTTATTCGTTAAAAAGTCAGTAGGTTAAATATTGTTATTTAAAAAAAATGTAATTATGAACTCAAGGATGATGTGCTCCATTTCTATATTGAAATTATTATTGGTAAATTGTTATTTTCAGCATTTGGGTTTTGTGAATATGAATATCCAGAAGCCACTTTACGGTGTATAAGACTACTGAATGAATGGGCAATATGCGGCAAAAAATTAGTGGTAAGTTTTTGGGGTCTTGTGAATTTAACAACTGAGTAAAATTTGAATTATAGTAATATTTAACTTTTTTCTCATGGAACCTCTAAAGAAAGATAATTTGATGTTCATTATACTGTTTTAGGTGAAAGTAGATGCTAAAACCAAAACATTACTGGAAGAATATAAAGAGAAGAAAAAGAATTCCAGCAAAGAGGAGAAGGAGGAGGGAGAAACGACAGACGATGTGGATGAATTTTCTCAGAGAGAAGACAGAGTTGCGAAGGCAGGCCTGGATGCCATTATGAGGGAGTATGCCAGGGAGTTGAACAAGGAACCAGAGCCCTCGGTTAAACCAGAAGAGAAAAAAGAAGACATAAAAAAGAAAGACCTGAAAGAGAAGGATAAGAAAAAAGCTGATCAGGTATGGGACATTGTCTCAGAGTAGGCAGTTTATCTCCAATCATGTCATTTTACAAGGGTGTCGTTTTTTAGGTTTATTTAAAATCAAAACGAAGTTCAAAAGGAAAATATCTTTTTCGTGTTGCCCTTATGAATTATTTTTTTCTGAGAGTGATTTTTTGATTCCATGGTTATTCTCATTTTTGAAAATAATTTGAATTTCAAATTTCAGGGGCTTGAAGATCTAGAAATGGAAGATGATAAAAAAGATCTCATCAACAAAGAAATAAACAAATTCCGCGACTTACACAAGGTAGGACACAGATAAGAATTCATTCAAAGTTAACTATGATTTAATTCTGCTTCCTCTTCCAGTGCTCAACTTGTTGAAAAATTCATTCAAACACTGTATCCCAAACATGTACAGAAAACA